CTCTATCAGAATCATATCTCACAAATTAAAATCGCAGAATAGAGATAGAGAGTGGAGAGAGACGTGCTGGGTTACCTGGAGATGGTGGCCGACAGTGTTAAAATCGCGATAAATTGGGGCTCGTGATGGAGAAATACATGAGTTAGTACTTGGTTGGCGGCGATGAAATTTTTTGCAAATGGATCATCAGTTTGAGAAAGGAGAGTCATTTTGGTTATTTTATTCTTTCCAAATATTCCTAGTTGGGTCTGTTTTCTTATTTTCAGGGAATAAATGGGAGGGAAAGACCAAAGGTTATAGGCGGCAAAATAAAAAGCTTTGGAGGGAAAAATAAATCGGCTACCTACTACTATTACCTATTACAGGCCTTTATATTCAATTGCCGATAAAGATGTGTTTTTTATTGCTAATGCTCATTTGTCGGTAATAATTTGGCATAGGAGATAAATTATCGGCAATTAATTTATCGCCGCTAAATAGTGGCCACTAAAAGTAATTTTTGTATTAGTGAAAAAGCAAATGCATTTGATTACAACTTGAAAAAAAATTCAGATAAATCTCGGCTCGATGAATCGAGCATTTATTTTGAAACAAGTAAAGATTAAAATGAAACTATAGGAAATTTTAAATGCCTAGAATGGACATAGAAGTAAATTCTGCCAAGCTACCGAGGGATTCGGCGAGCTTGAGATGGTGTGGTGGTCCATTTTTCGAGAACAACCCCCTTCCCCACAGTCTGAATAGTGAGGCCTTCTTCCTCCTCCTCCTCAATTATGGCACCGCAGTCCATGTCCTCATCTTCTAAGAACAAAATCTTTAACCCAGCTAGTGCTTCTTCCTCTGCAGTCCCCCCATATCGTATCAGCTTGGTGAAAAGCTTGTTCCAAACGTGGCACTAGTTGCTCAAAAAGGTAATATGGTCCACGCCATGGAGGCGACCAATCATTGTACTTTTGCTATGTATATTGGTATCCGAGCCCAAAAGTGGTACCATGATTTTTCAGTTGTATTGGTTTGGTGATATCTTGGAGGTTCTTTCCCAACCCTTTATCGGGTTCATATCCGGACCATGCTAGTAAGCTATTCTCCTTTCAGATTCCACTTAAATCGTCCATTTTTATCTTTCATTTGCCTTTTGTGTTGCTTGAAGGAGGAGGAGGTGGAGGGCCTCTAGATCTGGTATGATATGCTGATGAGGCCAATATGAGTGAACCAACCTAAGGGGATGAGAATAATCAAAAATAAAGAAAAACAAAAAGGTACCAAGTTAGTGAGGATTCTGAAACATTTGTAGTATCTAAACACATATTGCGGAAATGTAAATTTGTGTCTTAATTTGGGAGCCTCGTTGTGCCCGAGGTTGGACTAGCGATAAATAAACTTGGAGAACTTTTAATGCCAATAAATGCTTCATTTCATAATATAAAAATAGACGAATCCCAAAATGACACTAAGATAGTAATAAAATAAGTCACTACTTGGCACTCGGCCTTATTATATTTTAGGAAAAACAAGTAAATCTAGCCTATTAGGTCCCAGAAGAACCTTCCCCAGATTCGATCTTCCGAACTCCATCATATAGATCCCCCAACTCGCGCAGTCCCAGCAGCAAGTACGCTCTGGCCAGATGTCCTCCTTCAACTCTTTCAGCACTCTGGCAATTTTCAATTCTCTTTATGACTTTACCTTCCACCTCTACTAGTCCTCACTCCGGATATTTCAGTTTCCTGTTGGAAGTGATTTCCATCTCTTTCCACTCTTTGATCAACCTCACATTCCTCTCATGTATTTCCCGATGCTCATTCTTAGAGTTGTGGACCCTCTTGCACAACCTGTTGTATTTGACTTGAGCTTTAGCTTCCTCATCTATGATTTTGTTCCCTCGACCGGTCCCTGGCGTCACCATTTCTTTCAGATTATCTTCCAACCATGCCAAATAGAGAGGCTCGCACCCTGCATGATACATGTCTGGATCAACGGTGCTTTTCTCCATAATGATTTTGTAGTGTCACATGTGCGGAGCTTGGCAATTGTAAGGGACGTCGTCATCTTGAAAGTTTGCTCTAAAATGACTCATCTTGACAACCCTTGGTATAACCTTCTTTCTGTCTGCCTGCCTTATAACTCGCATAGGGACATATGGATATATCCCTCTCAACCCAATCAGCACCAAGTGTGGAGCATCCCTGGATCTGATAATAAATTCGTCTGTTGGGAACCATTCAAACATCACTGCACCTGTTCCTCGGTCAGATTGTCGAAGAATTCTACCCATTCTTTGGCACTTTCCGGCTGAGCAATCTGTCTAGAATGTGAGTCATCTGCTTAAGGTGATGGGAGGCAATATGGTCGTTCCAAGACCTTCGCGGAAGTTCTTGACGATAGCGACCCTTTTGGAAATGCTCCAGCAACCATAACTGCAGTAACAAATTACAATCCTTGAAATGCTTGACCCCTCTTTGACAGCACTCTAGAGCCCTATAGATGTCGTCTATGATCATGGGCACTATGATATATATCTGTCCATTAATCCCTTCCATTAGAGTCTTAGCGGCCAAGGCCAACCTAGTGTGGATTCTTCCCTTTTTCATTGGGAACACTATCAGGTCTAGAAAGCACACAATGAATACAAATACTCTGCGGCAGATGTGACCCAGAGAAGTGAGAGAGATATCATCATGGTAAGTGCGGAAAGACTTGTTATGGCCATACCTCTCGTACAGGTATTCGAAAGGTATGTAGGATTCCTTCAAGCACACTAGGTTGACACTCTTCTTCAGCCCCATCATCTTCAAAAATCCCCTGCCCGTATAGTTTTCTGGTACCAATAACCCCGGACTGTCCTAAGTCAATCTTGCTAGACCTCCAATTTCCTCTAGAAGCGGTGTCATTTCTATGCCACCGAAACGAAACACAGCTCTTTCACTATCCCAGAATAAAGTGACAGCCTCGATCAGTTTGTTGTTTGGCTCAATATCTAGCAAGGAAGGCAGGTTACCCAGGTGTTTTCTTACTTGTTTCTTGTCACTTGAGGAAAGGTCCTCCCACCAATCTAGCAGCAATGGTGGGATGTTGCTAACCATACCGAATCTGGGGACCTCGTGCCTCATTTTCTGCAAAACAAAAGGGTTAGACCTTACCCCCACCTAACTCGACTATTTATACATTTATGATCAATATATCGGCATTTAGTTCTCCAAATTAATGCACAAAACGTGGTTGTGTCCGTTGGGATTATGGAAAACCCGATGGACTTTGGATAATTCTTATATTAAGGATCATTATGTGGACAACATAACTAATTCGACTAGGTTTGACCATGATACATGCAAATTTTAACCAGAGTAAGGCTTATATGGGGTTTTAGACTGGTACCCTCAAGCGGACGACTCGAGGGGGAAGGCACGGAACCATTGACTGCACCACTGATCGACTGGTTTTACCGTAAATAAGCCTTTCCGAATTTAAGGGTAGTAAATAGGAAGAACACAAACACTCATTAAAGTGTTGCTATAGGATTTGATACACACGAGTGGAATATGATGTGGAGCATGATTTAAGAAGCAATTAATAATATGTAGTCAAGTATTTTCACGTAGAAAAAATAAATATAGCATTTAAATAATTGAAAGATAGTTACAGAAAAAAGAAACAAAGAGACAAGTCAGTTTCAGAGATAAAGAACCATAAATGCTTAACAAATGGACAATTAAATTCAAATAAGGGAGAAGGGTACGGGATAAAGCATGCTTGGACTAATTAGTAAAAATATAAGTTCGTTATGGTAAGAGCCTAAGAATATCCCCAGCTGAGTCGCCATGCTGTCGCGCCCCCTTTTTTTCCTCTGCGGAGAGAGGTCCGGGTTTCGACATTCATGGGGTATGATAACTCCTTTCCTTTTTGGGAATTGGGTATTTGAAGAGTCGCCACCTAACGGATTATGGTGAGTTAGGGCACCTAGAGCGATTAACTCTTGGATTTGTTTGCATTACCAGAGATTAGGGTAAGGGCTCTAAATGACCTCAAGGGGAAGGTATTAGGCACCCCTCTTGGTCCACAACTGTGGGTCCCGGCCGAACTCATATTTACGAATTAGTCCATTTGATGTAATTCCACGTCCGAACGTGCAACAATAGCAAAAAGTAAGCGAATTAGGGTAAACTTTACAAATGGTGAAAATATTTCCTCATAATATATGCTAGCTTCTTGAATAAAGTCTTTTGCCACCAATCGTGTCTTGTATCTTTCTGTTGACCCATACGTTTTGTGTTTAACTTTGAGAATCCATTTTTTCCCAATGGCTCTACGCCCAGGCGAAAGGTTAACTAGATCCTAGACTTTGTTTGTTTTCATGGATTCTAATTCACCTTTCATTGCTTTCATCCGCTCATCTTTTCCAGGCTCGATAAATCCTCAGTCACAGACTTTGGCTCATCCATTTATGTGGGAGATACCAAAAAAACGTAATCTTCAAACTCATAGGTACATTGCTACTCTTTCATAGTTGAAATTCAAGTTCGTCATATGGATTTTGGGATTGAGAGTTCTCACTCTCCGCTTAGATCAAGAACAAGATCTTGATCGATTTGATTATCAACTATGTCTGAATTCAACATTTCATAAAGAGGCTCCATATTCTTTACCTCGTCCTTCTTTGGAAAATCATTTTCCAGAAATGTGACATCTCGTGATTCAATCTCAGTAACACTACCATCCTCTATTTCACTGTTGAACACATACCCTTTAGAGTATTCTGAATATCTTATAAAGATATATTTTTTGCCTTTTGAACCTAATTTACCAAACTTGCTATAAGAATCCTTTACATAAGCAGCACAACCCCAAAGTCGTAAATCATTTAAGTTTGGTTTATGACCAGTCCAAAGCTCATAAGGAGTGAGAGAAACTGATTTAGAAGGCACTTTGTTCAATATGTAGGCAACAGTCTGTCGCTCCCCCTTTTTACCCTCCGCGGAGAGAGGTCCGGGTTTCGACATTCATAGGGTGTGATAACTCCTTTCCTTTTTGGTAATTGGATATTTGAAGAGTCACCACCTAACGGATTATGGTGCGTTAGGGCACCTAGAGGATTAACTCTTGGATTGGTTTGCATTACCAGAGATTAGGGTAAGGACTCAAAATGACCTCGAGGGGAAGGTGTTAGTCACCCCTCTTGGTCTAACTGTGGGTCCCGGCCAAACTTATAGTTACGAATTAGTCCAAATAAATACTTGAAACAAATAATTACAAATAAGGCATGTTTGTATAACTCAAAAAATAATAAGACAGAAGTTTTTGGACAAGTTGTAAAATCAAAGTCTTA